TCAGAATATGAAATAAATCACAAAAGGTCTCATGCATTTCCACAGCATTCCCCATGTAACGTAGTAGATGGTGAAAGAGAAGATCTACAGGGAACCTATGCATAAAAATTTGCATTTGTAAATGCAAAGGCGACTGTGAGGAACCAAACCACTCTAACTTGTGCACTCACTGTGTGCGGTGTGTGAAACTACTTTTTCCGTGAAGGAGAGAGATTTTTGTTCCCTTGCCGTTCGTCTCTGAGGAGTGGCCAGCACTCTCCGCAGGGTGGCGGGGAGAGCTGTGCTGCTACCCTCTCCCACCCCCTCTGCCTGGAACAGAGGGGCAGATCTGACCTTGACAGATGCAGGTTTGCTGAGGGTCTTCTTTCACACTTAGCTGCCCTTTCCTTTCCTCTTTTCTGCATATGGAGGTCTCTATTAAGAAAAGACTCAGTTTATCTGATGTCAAAGTAAAGGCTGGAATCTTTAAATTTTTGTAAGCATTACATTTAGGCTGAGTAGAAAATAGGAAGAATCTGCATGTTTACAAGAGCAGATGCCCCCAAAAGTATTTATTTTATTCAGAGGCTCTATTTTTAATATGTTGAGGGTTCTTTGTGTTGTTTTTTTGTTTTTTAAATGTGGAACTTCCTTTGAGGGAGGAAGGCTTGTTTAGCACTGGTATAGAACAATTCAATTCAAGAAGGTTATAGCTCAGCACAGACCAAGTAGCTACTGGGAAATAAAACAGTTCTTCAAGCTTTATAGTTGCCCCAAAGCTAAGGACTCCTGAAAGCCAACCACATCAGAGCCTCTGAGCCAGGCTGCACTCTCATCCTCAGGACCCAGCCACATCGCTTCTGGTTTGCTGCACAGGGACAGCTAAAGGTGATCCTGCTGTCCGACACTGACCAGCCAGCTATGCTCTTTTCGGTTGGTCCCAGCTGGGCCTTCTGCTGCCTGAGAGGAGCTGATATGAGGAAGCAGCTGCTTTGTTCGGTTACTGCAGTTGTCTCCTGAATCATCCTGAAAGAAAACTCCTGCATAAGCTCAGCAAAGTGCTCTCTCTTTTGCTGGCAGACACTGTGATGTGCTTTTGAACTGTTTCTGGCACACCACCCTCCTCCCCATTATCTCCTCAGTGTCTTGATGGTTAACAAATAAGCAAAAAACTCCCCAATTTTGATCTGAGCTACAGTATATACGACAGGGTGCTGATGTAATGGGAAGAAAAGATAGGCAAGGAGCACTCAAAACACATCATGCTTCTCTAGCTGTAAGAGGAACATCCTACAGGATGGATCTGCAGCCGAGAACATTTATATTTGAGCTAGTTTAAAACAGCTAGTCTAGGTGCAGCTCCAACATCACAGGCTGCAAAACCTACCCCAGCTTCTGGCTAACTATCAAAGCAACCTGCCCATGATGTGCATGATTTGTTGTTGCTACATTAACACCAGTACCCAAGCCAGCATCAGCTAAGTAACCCAGGTATGACCACTGAAGTTGAAACTAAATGGCTAGATTAAAAAAGAAACAGGACAGAGGGAGCTTCCAGCTCCCGGTGACTGGAAGCATGTTAGCTAGGACAGGCACTAGGACCAAAGGCTCACTGTCTCTGCAAGCCCCTCACTTGACTGTAGCCTAAGAGAAGAAACTGGAGAAAAAGCCCACATCCCATTTAGAGAGATCAAGGTGAAGCAACATTCAAAGAATCGTCATGAAGCCTTTGAGACAAAAGCCCATAGAGTTCAGGGCAGTGTCAGTGTCAGACAACCTGAGAAGTCTCATTGTTCTAGCTAAACCCAAGTCACCAGCGTTGTGATTAACATCAGTTATAGGGTTCCTCTTTCCTGAAACTTCTTGGCGATGCCTGGCACATAGACGTAAAAATGGCAGGAAAGTTGTGCTCATTCTTGTAATATCTCTTGAAGGCTCTTCCCTCCATAAAGACACACCATAAAGATGACCAAGCTTAGGGGGAGGTAAAAAGAAATGTTTTATCTTTTCTCTCTCCTAATACGAGACAGGACCTTTGAAGGCAAGTACAAATGTTACTGTTTTTAGCCTAGTTGTTTGTTTAGAAAGCTCATCATTCAAATAAGTACTGGAGGAAAAGAAGGGATGCTTCCTTCAAGCATGAGGCCATATTCAACCCCAAATCAGCCCACCTCACTGGCCATTTGCTGCCGTTTGAATGCACAAAGGGCACTTCCCCTGTTCTTGAAGTAAGGATGCCAATTAGCTTAACCAGTCAGAAATAAATACAACTCAATGCTGGGAAATTATGTCTGGTTCTGAATTCCAGGATTTTTGCCACCTAGCACAGAAGCAAGATACTGCTGAAGCTGCTAAGTCCTTGCATTTCTCGCAGGATTTGCCACCTAGCACAGAAGCAAGATACTGCTGAAGCTGCTAAGTCCTTGCATTTCTCCTGCACTATAAAGTACAAGCTGGTCTCTTGCCTCTGAGCTGGATAGTTTCTTTTGTTAAGTTTCAAACACAGCGAGCAAGTAACTTGGCTGACAACTGCTCACTGCTTTGAGACAGTGGTTCCTAAGGGGGGCCTCAGAAAGCAACAATTCTTTAAAAAAAATGTAATGGCATGCTATTATTCAAAAACTTTCCAAGTGGCGTTACAGCTTGGTGGAGCTACTAAGGGCTGCAGACTAACCTATTTTCCAAACCGTGAAAATCTCCTTTGATTTACAGCCATCCTCAGTGAACAGCTAGCATGCGCTATGGCTGCTACTCTTCCAATTACTTTCCCCCATTTGCTTTAAAGACAGATAATCTTCTGCTGCAGCCAACACAAACAAGTGTTGGAAGAGAACCTCTGCAGAGCTCACTGTCCCAAGACATACACAGGGGAATGGAAGAGCTGTGAAGACCCAGCAGTGCAGCCTCGGCTGTGGAGAAATTTCCAACTGGCTTGGACTGAACTGGGCATCCAAATTCCTTCAAAATGACTAGGTGGCCAGTATAATAAAGACAAATGTTTACCTGTTAAATCTATTGCCATTTGCTCACTGCACCTGTCTGCAAAAGTACTGTCATTTCATCTTGAGGACATCATTCCCAAAATATGGCAGGATGAGAAATATCTCAAGGATGATGGTTTGTCTTCCTTCAATATCTCAGGACAAGTCTCTCCCAGCAAGAGAGGTGTTTTCTTCTGGGAGACTTCCATATAAAAACAGACAGGAACAAAATGTGACTAAGTGTAATAAATGGCTCTATGTTCCTGTCCACACACTTTTGTGTCACCGAGCATCCAATCAGAGAGACCAAGATTTAACTTTGTTCTTTCCCCCAGCCCACAGATCTCAAAATGTATTACATCCTCAGCTCCAACTTCCAAAGGTAAGAGAAGGATATGACAGAACTCATCTCAGTTGCATGCCGTCAAAAAGGTATATATAGAATTCAAATTTATGTACAGAAATTACAATAAATATGAAACTCTCCATTGCATCACCCTCAGAAAGCCACCCTAAGTGGAAGGCTTCCACTTTTGAAACGAGAAGGTTTGAAGATATCAATACTTGCCCATACTTCCTGACCAACTCCAGTCACTGCAAGAGACAGCTGTTAAAGAAGCCAAGTCTGAAACTGAGCTGCTCAGGAATCTACCAAATGCTGATTTGTGGGAATTAAAATGAAGAACAATCACTGTAACATAATCGATTCATCACTAAGTAGTGTTGCTCGGATATAATGATCTTATCAATATGATGTTTATTCTAGTATACTGCAAACACATTTTAGAAGCATCAGAGCAAACAGTTTTGCTAAGTAGGTCTCATACATTTATAAGCCTATTACACATAAAGCTTTCCCTAGTGAGCTTTTGATCTGGTTCATCACATTTTACGTCCAATACAGCAAGTATTTTAGTTGAGTTGTGACTTTTTTTGTGTAAGTTCTTATTTATAGCATACCTCTTTTCACAAAAGATGGCAGTAAGTCCAGAAAGTTTTCCTAATCATTGTGAATAGTTGAACACATTGCTACATACACTTCAAAAGTCATGCTTTTATTTTGATCTGAACAGATTGTGAATAACTGTTATTAAATTAGTCAAGATACTTCTTGGACCAGTCATCTGTTTAGAAAATCAATCTCCCCTTATTTTTTAAAACAGCTCCCCTTTTCCTTTTTTTTTTCATTAGAAGTTGTATTTTTCAGAAATAATGCTTACCTGTTAACTTCAGAAGGCTCACCTCTGTTTTACAAAAAAGGATGAAGTGCTTTTTGCAGAGCATTTTGCGGACAACTGTAGTATTAAAACTGCTCATCTGTGTTAATTAAATACATCTGCTTCAGAAAATAAGTCTGGGTCTATAAACCACTTCTGCTTGGCCATGTGTAAATTAGGCTAGCAGACATTTTGAAACTGCATAAAAAAGTGCTGTAAGTGTGCAGCTACAGCCAGAAATGTGGCATTATAAGTGACCTCTGATGTGAATGTTTCCCATACTTTTTTTCTGAGATGGCAAGATAATGTGTTTTCTAATATCTTGTTTGCACTGCAGGCCTTTAAATAGAGAAGCAGCAACCAGATTATCTCGCCTTGTACACAGTAATCACACTGTATTCCAAAATCTGTATTAATAACAGATAGCAAGCAAGGCCTAATTACTGCAACTCAGAGCTTCATAACATCAACATTAGGGACTGCCAGTCTTCTCATCATGCATCTGGCTTGTGTGCCATTTGTCCAGACGTGTCCAGTCACCTGAACAGTCAGTCACTGGAGGCATATTCAGCCTTGTTTTGAAGATGACTTTATAGATGCAGTGTAGACGTGTATCATAGGACTATCAGTCCTTAAAATAAAGGTTCTAAAGGTATGTCGCTGATCAACAACGAAGCGAAGAAGAAAAGACGTGATTTTGCACGAGGTATTCTATCTCACCTATCTTCAGTTCTCAGATCCCTGGAGCTTCAAACTTAAACATATTTACATATAAAAGAAACTGTGTATGATATTTGCAGAACTTATTTTTCTTGTACATTACCTTTAAGACAAAGCAGTGATCTGTAGGTGCCTTATATTTCACTTTGTGTTGAGAACCATAATAAACGTTCATATTCTCAAACTGAATGAAGCATGCCAGATCCCGTGATGTCTACAAATGAAAACCAAGCACATCATTGTTAGAACAAACTGAATTTCGATGTGAAACTCGTTAATATGACTTTTCAAGTGTATGAATGCAAATGCTTTTTATTTTTTCAACTGTCATGAAGTTGACTAAAGAAAGATTAATTTTAAGTGTGTGCATTCCTAAACTAACAACTGGAAGAGGGTCAGTACATACTAGGAATAATATATAACACAGTGCAACATTTTGCTGCTGTTCTGGTTTTGCTGTGCTTTATTGCTTTGCGTGGAGATTTTGGCTCATGACTAATAAGACCGAATAGAACACCATAGTAAGAAATAACTTTAGTAAAACAGATATAGGCCTTGCAACCACACACTTACAATTCTGAGTGGAGAAAGAAGGTTTGGGGTTTTAAATTGCTTTGGGAACTTGTTTTTCTTTGGTATATGTAAGAAACTCTCATCAGGAAATAAGCACACATTTCATCTGCTTTGCTTTGAATTTTCTCAAATTTCCTGGCATCATTCCTTTTCTGTTTATCATAATATTTGCTTGTTCACAATATGTTGCTAAAGTAGCAAGGTTTCTGTTGCTGGCACACTTCTCAGTGCAGAATTCTGCATACAAAGCATAACTTTTGCAATCCTTTGAGTGGAAATGCAAAAATGGCCGTGTCACATGGTCACTGTTGGCTAAACTGAGAAATCAGGAAATTGTGAAAAAAAGAAAAAAGAAAAAAACTAACCCTCTCCACCCCTAAGAATGGGGTTCTATTTCCACATATGATGGTTCTTCTATGCTGTTCTCATTCTTACTGATACTTTCATTACAATACGCCCTTGAGTTGGATTTCTTTACAAATTGAGTTTGCAAGTAAGATTTGTGGGGAGAGGAAGCACTCCATACTGTCTGTAGACAGGGCTTCTCTCTCTCCCCTGTCTCCCCTGAAGCTGATGTCAGGGATTTCGTCATTGACTGTGTGGACCTAGGATTTTCCAACACTGTAAGTTCCTGAACGACCTCAAATCCATGCAGTATAATGAGTTGCTCCTTTCCTTTACAAACCAGGTAGTGGCAATTAAGACCAATACGAACGCAGTTGTTATTTTCTTCTAAGTAAGGAACAAATTTTTATGCAAGGGACAAAGGCACTTACTGCTAGTATTACTGCAATGTTAACATGACAATGCAACACAATTAACAGAAACAAATTTTAAAACTGTATTTGCAATTCTGATTCTGTTGTTTTGTGACCCTGTCCATTAACAGCATGTTTTTGAACGGGATAGAAGCAGAGTAATGCTGAAGAAAGAAATTAAGACAGCAGTGCTGACTGGTGCCTGGTTTGTTAACATAAAAAACCCAAACAACAAAAAACACCAAAGGTGTGTGTGTAAAATTATCTGAACATGTTCCTGTATTTTCATGTTTGCAATGTATTTTACAGCCAACATGAAGTGCCAAAGGTATGCCAGACTTTGCTTTTTTATAACAAGTGAAAACATGATTACATGATGAATTTCAAAACAGCTGCAGCAGCTGAAGATATTATTGTCCACCAACGGTTTGTTTCTGTACCTCAATGAAAGATCACTCTACCCACAACTGAATGACTGCAGCAAGGCGCATGTGCAGCACTCTTCATACCACCCTGACATGGGATGAACTCTCATAATTTAAGAGCTCTACTGAATTCTGCTGCAGTGCTTTAAGACATTTTAGCACCCTCACTGCATTCTGCTCTTCTACCAGAGATTACTGTCTCCACCAAAGACGTGTACCTGAGCCTCAGCGGTTCCAATACAAAGCACAGTAACTAACTCAAATCACCATTAAATACAGATTTGAGCTAAGAGACTTGACTTTCTCTGGAATGGCTGAGGCATGGACATATGCATCCTTTTGCTGAAGGCTGTAACAGAAGCAGAAGCAAACAGTTGATTGTGGTACCATTTTAAAGATAGCTGTGACTATCTCCTAAAGAACTAGATTCAAGATCCTTAATCCCTGTGAGTGGCTGATTGGTAATATAGTGAGTTTGAAGCACTCATGCAGTTCCTTAAAATGGCTTGAGTTACAGGCATGGTGGTACACAGGCTGTAACGACTAACAGGCAATAAAGCGTTAAGCTAAAACAGCTGTTAGAAGGTGACTGCATGGATCCAACCTGAGCCTATGTTTGCAGTCTGTCACCTGAAAAAAGAAAACACTTTCCTCATTTGCACTATGATGGAAAGTCACTGAAACGGGTATCACTGGATGATGAAAAAAGGCTGGGTAACTACCAGTATATGCTTTCCCTGCTTTGGCACTGTGCTACCGGCCATCGTTGGAGGCAGGCAACAAGCAAATGTCAAAGATGGACTTTCCAATTGGCTATTCTTATACTCTTTCCACCTTAAGTGCCTTCCAAATAGCATTCTAGCTCCTAATTGATAAGATGTTGTGCGTGTGCAACATGATTTGAGGACTGAAAGCCATTATCTCAGGGTCAGGTAAAGTCAAAATAAATTGCTGTGAAAGCAGCAAGGTAATCTACGTCTGTGTTTCACTGAGATTTGGTTATAAACACAGGTCACTGGAGCAGCAGCATGGCATTCCTAAACAAGCTATCAATTTTTTTTTTTCCTCTATAACTTAGTCAGGGAATAGCAGAACAGTTAAATTCCACAGCACAAATCATAACAATAAAGCTCCATCAGCAGCACCAGAATTTTCAGATATGAAGCATTAGCAGAGCTGTAAGTGGTAACAGAAGTGAGTTTCCAAATTAAAAAAAAAAAAAAAAAATCCAGCCAGTCCCAGAAGCCATCATTCTACCTCATCACTGTGGAAATGAGAAGCCAGCTGCCCTTACTTGCAAAATGTCCAGGACCCCTTTGCTTCTCCAGTGTTGGCAATTCAGACTCTTTAAATATTTTGCAATACTAAATGTCAGTGCATTTGATTCAGCCAGGTGGATGGTTCTGTCTCACTTCTTTCTACACAAAGGGCAGTCTTAAAAAGCCTTAAAAGGCACGATGCATTCTCTAGGTAAAGATCACTGTAGGAAAAAATGTATAGCATTTCTGCATGCTGGTTACTTGTGCAGAAAGGCAGTATCAAACAAAGTAAAATTCCACCTTTTTTGTGATAAGAAATTAGTTTACTTGAGAACTTTTAAAATATTCTTCCACAGGGAACCCATATAACACTGAAGCATTTTGGCAGCGTAACACCAGCTGAAGGGTGCTGTGCTGTTTTTCTTTCACCTACTGACTTCCAGAGGAGCGCTATTTCATTAATGCTTTTATCTATCCATAGAAATCAAAAGGAGAGAAACGTGACAGGATTCAGTGACTACATTCTAATATTTGCACAAGTGGTGTAGTCAAAAGTTAAACCAAAAAAACCCCAACCCTCACAGATGCACCAGACAGCGCTCTTAAAGTGTCACCTTGGGAGTTCTTCACTTTCACCTCCATGAATTGTTTTATTGCTAAAAGGATTATTTGGCTTCCTGACCTTGGTTTTTCCTTTGGGTACATAATAAATTCCAGAAGCTCGTAGAAGAAAATAACGCCTCTTCCAGGACTTTTTTCCATCTTCTTTTAAATAAAGGGCCCCTTCAAGCTCTGGCACAATGACAGATGTCCCACAGAAGCTTTCCTGTGCAACAAGAATAATAATACACAAAATAAATTGATTTAAGCACAACCCTATTAATAAATAGCAGAAAAACGCTCCCTTGAAAAATAAAGACATTTCCTGTGACAGTGAACATATGAACATGGGGAATGCAGTTACCAGGGAGATGAACACCTTAGACAGGCAAAGGAAACTTTCCCAAGCTAATGTGGGAACTCGGCCGTGCAAGCTGGGTACTCACACTGGAAAAGGCGGCTTGCAAAACCTCCATTCTCTAAAGGGTCAAGCAAAAACCTACAACAGGTTTTAAATAGACATAGATGTGTGAAGTGAAAGTGAAGGCAATAAAACAGAATGGTTGGTACTGCTGCTGCTGGTTTTTCTCTGTTGCTGTATCTATAGGTTCTGTAGAGAAATGCTTCTGTAGAGAGAATTTTTAGAGACTGCTTAGAGCTCTAAAAACAGCTGAAGAAAAAAATCCCCCTCAATCTCTGCTTTCACTTTGAAATACATGTTATTATTTATAACACTGTTTAAACAAATATACTTCACTGTTTGCTTGAAGGACCTACTGTGGGGTAATTTTTAATGCCAACATGCTTATCACCTAATGTTTTCATTTAGAATTTACCAGGACTTCTGCTGGTTGACATCTGGTGCCTTCATGAGATGCACTAATTTTGAGATGGGAATCCTCAGTCACCTGAGAACAGCATTTCCTTTGTGAACTTTTACCAAAGTCAAAACGCTTGCCAGGAGAACTGTGGTAATCTTCTCTTTCATATAGCTCTGGAAAGGCAAGAGGCTGAACAGTCTTTCTGGAAAAGGGCAAAGGTTCTTTTTCTGTTGTAGTACAGATAATAATTTGAGGTAGTGAGAAGTACATCTACTTCTAACCCAAAAGATAATTGTTTGCTACTGATCAACCTTACTAACAATATAAAGTCACAAGGGCCGGCCTAAGGGTGCAGCACAGCTGTTTCTGTTATTCATATTTGTCTAACACTGCTTTTATTGTTATCATGGCATTACTCTTCATAGAAACACCAAGTAAAAACGTTGCACGGCATTGCGGTCTATAACAACAAAATAATTCTCCATCATTTAATTTCTCTGATAGGGGATACAATCTGCATTTTTAATGTTGAGCAGCAGCTGCAGAAGAAAACCCACATATGAAACCTTAGACACAAAGACACCAACCATCACAGAAGTTCCTGTTGTTACCCATTTGCCCGCAAAGAACTAATGATGTTGTTGCAGAGCAGATGCAGACGGTGGCAGAGTTCTGGTTGCATCATCTACCTAGAAAGCTGGCTTACCTCCAGTAAAGCTTCTTTGTTTTTATCATTCATTTCTTTGCTTTCATTCTTCCCTTTGTTTGCCAGGTAGAAATTCTGATTAAGACACAAAAGAAATTTATGTTCATTATAAAGACAGCAATACAAGTAACTAGATCACTGCAAACCCATTCAATAGTTATTCAGTCTTTCAATATTGAGTATCCAAGCCAGCAGATGCAAGAGACAGATGTTTATGGACTCTTCTTATAGAAAACTTTAATCACAGCTGCCTGTTCATGAGTTTTAATTCTTTATTTTGAATCGAATTCAAAAGTAATACAAAATTAATTTTGCCTATGTATATACAGCCTCCCAAAATTTTAAAAACACTGACTTATGGTTTTGGCTGTTTTTCTGGATCAATGGGTTTGATTTTATTATTCCGATTTTCATCGCTTCCTATATTATTACGGGCGGTAGAAAACATAACATTTTATTGCATGCTGATATTCAATGAATACAATGCACTATCAATAGGCTAGAAAGCATTTTTCCTAACAACCCAGTTTGGTAATTTGCACACTTCATATCTGACACTCTGGATACAAATCAGCTCTTAAATTTTAATAAAAGTGCTTATATGCCAAAGCCTTTATCCAAAGTTTTTACTTTCTACTTTTAAACCCCTTCTTATGCTCTGCAAAGTATTTTTATGCAATGAAGAAGGTATTAAAAAATCTAGAAGAAATCAGAAGAAATGATCACCATGATATCTTGGCACGTGTGCTCCAGCCTACTGAAACAAAAGCCTACACTTGAAATGACCCTCTGCTTCTCTGACAGAGGGCTGTGAAGCTGCAGCTGCCCTCAGAGGACCCAGTGCCTGTCTGCCACTGCAAACGAGGAAGCACAGCGCCTCATGCACACGGTTACCAGTAAAAATAAATTCACCCACTGTTAAACAGCAAAACCAATTTTGCATCCGTCTGCATTGTACAGATGGACAAAAGGACAGCACTTGGACATACGTGCAAATTCAGGCAGTAGGAAGGTAGCTCAGGACCATGCTAGGACTTGTGTGCCCGAGCACGTGCAGTGGCTTTGCTCAACAGCAAGCACGCCAGATAGCAGAGCCTGGCTGCCTGCAGACAGTAAGGCAGCTGGGCTTGAGGAGGCAGGTAGATCAAGGAGCTATGCCACGCATCAAGTAGCATTTGGATGCATGGGCTTCAGGCCAGAATGATAACACCCAAAGTTCTCGTGTTTTACCATTTTCTAAACAAAAGTACATGTAGAAGAGGAGCTTGGGTTTGGAAAATACCTGATGCATGGGACAGTCTTACTGATTTTCCTGGAATTAGTCAAAAAGCTAAGTTTGCAGAACAAAGGGCATAAAACAAACACCATTGTCTCGGATATAGACAAAATTGCAAAAACCCGACAAATTTTGAAAGCTAGCTACTTAAAAATTACTCCCAATTCTGTAATTCTTCAGCAATTCTGTAGGAAGAAAGCTAAGAGTTTATCTGACTGTTCATCTCTCTCCATTTTTTCACGTCTCAAGACTGCAAGAACATGGCGACATATTTACATGCCTCAAACTCCACAAAGACTAAACTGCAACACAAATGCAAACGTTACCAAAAGACAAATGAGAAGTGCGTAAATGAAGGAACATGCTATTGCTACAGTATAAGAAAGAAACAAAGAAGCAGCAAATCTGCCCTGCCAGCACACCATGTTTACAGCAACGAGGTTTATCTGAAGTGAAACCCTCCTCTTCCCCACAACCACATCTTCTTTTTTCAAGCAGTGCTGTGAACAGCTGTCTGCCAGAACGCTAGCCTCATAGCAGGCAGTTGTTGGAGGGGCACCAGGAGAGGAAGGGGAAGAGATGTGGATGTTCTTTAAAAACCGCTTTCTTAAAGGTTCACATTAAATCAGACAGGGGACATCAGAAACAGCCACCTGCAATTTGGCCTATGCTGATGCCATGTCTGTGGTATGAATAAAAGAAAAGAAACTTGAACAGTCAATACGATAGACAGTTATGCTAGGAAATACAGCAATGTTCTTCTCTAGGATATGCAGCAGCACATAGCTGGCTCCAGACTGCCGGGGCACATTTTTAGTCCATGGATGAACGTAAGCAAACATTAAGGACCACGCTTCGTGACTACATCTGAAGACAGTATTCATAGCGCAAAAAAACCAAACCAGCTCAAAACAAAACCCGCTTAGAAGTGTGTTCCCAGTACAACCCATACAGCAATGCCTGCCTATGCAGTCCAAAACCATAGGTCTGACTGAGTGACAATGCTCCATTCATCCCACTGGAAAAAAAGATACTGTTCTGAGCAGCTGCAGCCAAGTCCTCTGTACATGCGCAACAGCTCGTCTTGACAGGGAGCACTGTCACAGCACTCCTGGCTTGATGTTGGCACACCGACTTCTGCATTGATGAAGGTATGAAGAGAAACCTCAGAGGGCATTGTTAGGCTGGGTTGGGCCTCCAGACTTTGGGATGGATTTAGAAAGTAGAGGGACATGCAAGCTTTAAGCCTTCTTCTTCTATAGATCATTATAAAGACATAGTATAACCCCTAAAATACACAATGAAGATTTATCAAGGTAAGTACACCTTATTGCTGTCTCAACAAGGCTTGGCTCATCAGCTTCACTACCGGTGGGGAGAGCATTCATCTGGCTCAGTCAGCCTTCAGTGCACTGATAGTAAAACAAAGCTCCTCTGATTACAACTGATTCACATTCAGGCATCTGGCATTTATTTAGCAGAAACACAGACCACCCTGTACTGACATAATCAATGGTAAAGAGAGAAAGTTTGTAATGATATCCATGCTGGATCTGTAACAGCGCAGCTTTTTCATTAAGGAAACAGGGCTCTGTCACCTAAACCAACGTTACACAGATGTATACTGTCATCTTTCACCTGTCAACACGTATTTATTACCGATTACCTCCTTTATGTCTCTGCCCTGAAATCTGGAAGTACATGGTACTTATTATTTGTCAGTGGCTAAAAACCTGGGGAGCAGACTGTACACTGTACTTGTTTTATCACTGTGTGGTCTCCTATTTTTGATCAGAAGCATTCAATCCTATAGGAGGCAAACCACATGTGTCTTCAAGAGGCTATTCCAAGTCCAGTAGTCAAAGGTCATGATAAAAGGCAAGCTCTTTCCTGTCTGAGGACACCATTGGGAAACGCATGTTTGGTTTGGGATGTCAGGTCACTAATGGGACACGATGTGGCTACAGGGCAGCTCTCTGCATATGTCTACAGATTTGAGAATTAACTATTTTTTATGTTCAAAAGACAATGTCTTTCTCTTGATAGAGAGCTGAGCTTACTTAACAGGATGGATTCATCCTCTTGGGCTGATAACATAAGAAAGCAAACATAAAGGGTTATTTTAACAAACAAAGTATGTTGGTACACTTCGTCATTGGGTTTGCGTTGTTTGCACGGTTTGGGTTATTTGCTGCGGATGAGCAGTCAAGCGTTTTTGCTGAATTATTCCCTGTGCCTACATGCCCCAGGCCAGCTGAAGCTGACACAAAGCCAGTTGGTCTCCCATGCCATTCTGGCCTGACTCAGACTAATGCAGAGCTACGGTGGCAGTTTTGACATGTACTGCTAGCCAGGTATGACATCCTTAAGAGACATTACATCAGAATTTCCCCGTGCTTATGCAGGACAGCAGCAAAACTAGTTGGCAACCCATCTATGGCTTTACATTAGCAGGAAATTCCATATGCATAAAAGAAAATCCTGTAAAGATTTTACAGCCAGCTTAAGTTAATTTTGTGCTTTGTACTGTAAAGAACCACTAGTCTATGCATACAACCTTTCCACTTAGGGATACTAAGGCTGTATCTCTCTCCACTGTATAACCCTCAAACAGAAGGTGGAAGACAGAAGGTGTTTGCAATAGTTTCAAAGAAAATCTCTGGTGGCATGGAAGCAAACCAAACCTGGATCATGGTAGAAACAGTAGCCTTAACTACTGCACTGCCAAGCTCTCTGATCGATGTTCTATGTCTCTATATTTGTAAAAAAGAATTTCCTAAATGAAACAGCACCCCTCTTATACCTTTCATCTTTTTCCATACACAGTCAAGCTGGAATGCAGCAGCTACTTGTCAGTACATAGCAAAAAATAGGTGTTCAAGGCAGCATCCTCCCTCTGCTTCCCCTTCGGCTTAGGTTGTATTTTTACTTTCAAGATATTGAAACTGTTTTTCCAGAAGATCTGCAAGGTCTGCAACAGCACAGATCAGACAGCGTGCAGCAAACAAGGCAGCTGCTCCATACTCATGACTATTTTCTTTGTGCAATGAGCCGCCTGTTTACGCTCATCCAAACTACACCTGGAATGAGGCAAGAACTGGCCAGCTCACATCCCATTTCAGCCCATTGCAACTGCGTACTGGTTGGTACGCAGCATGGTTTGTGCAGAAAAAATAAAACAGAACACGGTCATATCTGCAACCCGTATCATGACGTGTCCCCTAAAAAAACGCATATTAAAAATATTAGAAGATACCTCTGAAGATCACAAATGTAAATAAATAAATGAAGCTAAAGGTAAAGCTCTTTTGAAGCCCCCCCAAAATGATTTTCAACTCTGTTTACTTGATTTTATAATGTTTGAAGAAATCGCTTCAGCTGACTTTTCACGCCTTGAGGATGATGGTCTTCATCATCAAAGAGGGGGGAACATGGAACAAATGAAAGATGTACACAAGCTAGAATGCAGCTAACAGCAAAGCACTTAATAAGCTGATTAAAAGCCACCTGCAAAATGGTTCAAATGTGTAAAGACTGTTTCTGTGTTACAGTTCCAAGGCAGAAAAATAAAAATATTTATTGAACTAGCATCTTCACCTTGAAACTAAACCATGGTCTGAGATACACTAACAGAGAGAGAAATTAAGATTACTAAACAGTGGGAGTACGGTGAAAAACGCTTCCCTTTTCTCACTCCTATTTCTTTGTGCATTTGCCAGCACACTCAATGATCAGGTTCCCTGCCGCCCTTCTGGGTTTCCTTCACTGGGTAACAGTGGAGACAAAGAAAAACCTTGATTCATAAAGGTGGCCAAAGTGGTGAAAAACAAAAGCATTACCTGGTGGATACCAGCCCAATTTCACTGACTTCAAAATAAATATTCAAGCATGAAACTCACTATAGCTGTACTGTTATGAAAGACATTACAAATGTCTCCTTCTCACACGGCATAGTACTCTTGCTTTTCAGAAGAAAAAAAATGTCAGTTCAGTGTATGGGTTCTCCATTGGAGGGTATAGCTCTTGCTTTTGGCTTACATATGAGGGAGCAGAAGCATAAAGTACTCACCATACAGATTTTCATAAATACTGTCCAAAAATAATTAAAAAAAACCCAAAAAAACCCACGTACATATGGTATCACCTCCACTGTTTGAATTTATCCTGTCTGCTTGTATCAGCAAAAAAGAGAGGAAACCAAAATCCATGTAAGCAAAAATCAAATATAGTGTTCTAAGAGTGTGACCAGCATTTACAGTCAGGAGTTTAGATTCAGCTGCCTCTTACAAATAACCCTGTTTAAATGAAGCAAAAGCATTTCGTACATTTTTCTTTTTTTAAAGAGTCTCTTTTATCTGACAATTATTCTTTGAGCTTTTTGGAAAGAGGTGTTGAGACCTGATGACATTTCCTTTCAAGAGTCAAGCACAGCATCACTCAACCACATTACAAAGCATCACCTTTCTATGTTATAAAGGTTTTCTTTATTTGCACGTGTACCAATATGTATTTTTGTTTCACTCTTTAGTCATAGACTTGTGATGCTGCACCTCTGTAGACGAGTCACTGATGCCATTCATTGAACAGTCTTTTACTGTCAGTTCCCTGTAGGGTAAATTATATCACAGCGAGGAAAGGGCAAAAGTATGTCTGTCTTTGTGAAGAGGGGGACACCTGAGGATTTTGCAGATGCTTTTTCTAAAACGTGTTCCAAATACTTTAAAAAGTTGTTTTCGGAAACAAAGCTGCAGAAAAACATTAAGAGAGTATTGCATGACAAGAATGACAATCTTCAAAAAAAGCCACTGGCATTAGCTGAGCAGCATGTTGCTAGCACAGACATAGAGGATAAATCCTGCATTTCAAAACCTCGGTTCCTCCTTAGAAAATGAAACACATTTAATTAATTGTTGTTTAATCTATACCAGGTATATAGCTAGTTCACAGAAAGAAACAATGTATAGTGGCACAGGTCATAGACCTTCTCCAGAGGTCCACTTGTTCTAGCAACGCATCTGGACATCTTTATAATAAGATTTTTTTAAAGCACTTAATTGCATCAAACCTCTGTAATGAAAATTTTGTATCACTAATTTCTCTAAGAATAAATTATACGCACCTGGCCACCTTTGGAATTTGCCTCTCTTTTTCCAGAGTTAATCTGCAAGTTACAAAACTGCGAGATCTCCGCAGTCAACCTCCGACAGAATGAGCGCTAAATAAGACCAACAAGGAATCCAACTGATGCTGCATTACCAGCACTGGCTGCGTCAAAAAAAGCATTCTGCAATTTCTGTACTCACAAAATGAGTTTATGAGGCAACCTTGACTGAGCTAGGAGGAGGCGGCTGACTATACTGAGAATACAGTATCAGAGCACTGGATTTCAGTTTCCCATTGGTTACACCATAATTTCCGTTGGTTAGGTAATCACACACCCTGCCCCCCACCAACTCAGCATTTCTGCTTGGTTTACCTTTTCAGGGACTTACTCCAGATCATGTATTTTACCACGTTTCATTATCTAGCGTGAGCTTCCCTGTACAATACTGCTTATTTTCTGCCAAAAAGACAAACTGCTGATATGCCTGTACTACTCTGCCTATCTCACAATCCGTACTAAGCCTGACAGATGGTTAGACTTTATTACTGGCAAAATATTTCAATAGTGTGATAGCTGCAACTGATCCAGTTTCCTTAGGCTGTTCATTTTAGAGCTTATCACAGAGGGGCTGAAGCTCAAGGACTGCAGACATGTCCAAATCAAGCTCAGCATGTCCTGAAATAGGAGGACAGAGCTACACTCTTATTCTGGTTTTGGTTTAGGTCATGTTTATTTCTAAAGTTCATTGCAATCTAAATGCCCAGACTCTTCATCAAAGATTTATGTCCTGTGGGAGGTTCACAGACTTGCCCTAAGCCACTTGCCCAAATAACACTACTATCATATGAATCAAATGTACAGTCAAACCTCTGCTGCTAGGTATGTTTATGTGCATTAGAGAGCATGACATCTTGAGCTATCATGTATGTTTTACTTCCAAACTTGGCTTTGCTGTTTCTCATTAAATATCAACATCAATCCATGTACACCGCAGGATAAGTTTTCTTTCCCTGACTGTGGATACTTGTTATGTCAACGAAGGAAACTTCCTCTCTGCAGGTTTTATTTGAAACACTGGCTCATTCTAAAAAAAAAAAACAACTACCTAACGAGCAGCTTGGTGAGATTTGCCGCCAAATTACATATTTGACTCATTTTTTCGGCAATGCCGAATTGCTCATTTTTCTCTTGCTGCCCTCAGGAACAAACCAGATGCTCAATGAGATAACAGACCGCTGACAAGGGGAAAAGATCTAGTGCTCCAGAATCCATCAGCTGTTCTGTGCTAGGGTGTTTTGTAAATATGGTTTTGACAACATATCACAAGAAATAAATCATTTGTGCATACACCTATCCTGAATAAATTGATGCAATTCAGTGCACAGGCCCTCTTTTTACAGAGTTAGTGTGCACAAGTTACTGTTCACCCAATTCTTCTCCCCAGTCTAAATGAAATCCAGATAAACTCTCTGTCGTACTCAGCATACTCTTTATGAAGTTTCATGTACAACTGGCAGAAAGTGGATCTTCAAGGAAATGTTGATTTTCATCAATAGAAATAGTGGAGAAACTGCAGTAATGACAAAGGCAAAGTTTTTACAGCTGTGCCATCTCACCCCAGTTCTGAGAGCTGTGCCTAAGCAACAGCTTGTACCAGCGGAGAACTACATACTTCATTTTTTACCACTGCAGACGGGATTTTAAAATAGAAAAATAGAAAAGAACAGAAAGCACTAATTTTGAAATCCTTGCAATCAACATTCTGGGGTTTTTTTTGTTGAAAGTTTCGCTTTCTCTAATTCCAAACTGACAAAGAGCTGAAAGCAAATTAATAACGCAACAGGCAGCATACAGCCTAATGACATAATTTTAGACTCTTATCCAAATACCATGTTAGCTTACCTGGGGATTTTTAAATAAAGCATACTTTTCACTTTTTTCCAAAAACAGAATCTTATTCTCAGTGTCTCGAGTCCAGTCCGATAACACTTCAACAACATTTTCATGGTCTTCAAAAAACCTTTCTGGAGAGACAGAAAAGGTAATGTAAGGCACTCACACTCTCTCTCTCCTCTCCTGAGGCTGCAGAAATTCCTGTGTAAGAATGTAATCATTATCTGATGTTCGCTTAGAGCTGGACAGTCCAGTACTTTTTTCCACTGCACAGAAGGGAGCAAAACCACATGAAAATATGTCATGTGGAAGAGCAATTCAGCTACAGAAGATGCCTTATGTAGCTCTGGCATGCTCCTGGATTCCTCCTGCATCTCTGTGCTGTTGCCCGAAGACTGCAAAGGATGGAAACAGTGACCCACTAAGAGTGGGAAACAGTGACCCACATGGTTACACCCATGTTTCTCAATGGCTTTCTGCTTTTATTTGCTTTTGTTTTTTAAGGTTTGCAGTATGATTGGGGGCGTTAATATATTCACTTTGGCTACTGAATTGAAGAAAAATAGTAAAAATTTATTGCCTTGTCTTTTTACTTATTGGAACAAATGAAAAATTGCTTTTTGTCAGCAGAAAGAATTCTATGCACTGAAAAGAAAATGTTTTGTTTCAAGCAACTGTATTTAAAAGCAGAAATAGCAAAACAGAGGAAACGGGAAGGCAGACTGAGAACTGATGTGAAGATACGCTGCTTTACCCAGCATCTCTGTAGTTAAAAACCTCACCAGAGATGTGGGAGACCTAGTGTCAGTCCTCTCCCTTCCTGAGCTGATCTAACCCAGATCCTCCACCCAGGAAAGCCAGCCACAGGGTATGCTGAGGTTAGGTAACTCCAATCTCTTCTTCTGCGGTTTCACTTGTATAAAGTAGCTGAACAGTCAAATAAACCCCGTTTGGAAGGAAAAGGAATTGAACATAATTTGACAGGTAATTTTGGAAGGACCCAAACTACATCTTTCTACAAATTCAGTACTGGAGCAGGGAATTCACCCTGCTCCAATTTTCAGTATGATTTTGGCAGTTCCCTGGGAACAGCTGTACTCCCATTTCAGTGGTCTGTGGTGATCACATCGTTCAATGGCCTAGATTGGCCTAGTATAAAAGGAGATAGCCTACAAAATCTATGCTCTGTTTTCTTTAACACTTCTTGCTACTTTTGACAAGGGTTCAGTATGTCCCATCAAAACTAAATTTTGTGAATTAATTAAACTCACAAAATGAGATGAGTTTCAGGGCCAGTTCACATGTACACAGTAACTTTTAACAACACAAGCAACATAACGCTTTTCATTTAGCAACTGATACTTCTGCAATGCACTGGAAATATAAAGCACTATATAAAACCCAAGTAATGGTTTGAAGGGTATACACTACCTTATAAACCAGGATAGCCGTAAAATAGTTCTCAGGTGGTAACACTAGTTATTTAACACTAGTTTTTGCCACGTATACTTTTGTTTGTTCATTTGGCTTTTCTTGTATAAAAGGTATGATTTTACCACCTTCAGGAGGGTCTTTTTTATAATTATTGTTAAAAAAAAAAGTCAAATCCGGATGCCTATTATAAGGCAATACTCTTTATTGCAAAATACATGCTGGTATGTGCAGCCCAGTGTTATATCATCATCTCACTACTGAGATTATTTGTGATATTTAACATGCAATTAATCTAAAACTGTAGTTTATTTTATTTGCAATGATAGTCTTTCAAAATAACAGTATGTATAGGATACTCTGTCAAAGATCTTCTGATACAAAACTACCTTGGACTTTCAGTTCAGCCTGAAATATTTGCTGCTCAGATTTGTTTCTTAAAGTAAAAGTATTCAAGAGAATAAAATTACCAATAGGGAAAGCAGGCAGAAAGGGAAAGTGCAGGAAAGCCTGTCTTCTAAGCATGCTGATAGTAATAGAGCTATCTAGAACTGCCAAGAAGTATACTGACAAGAATAAAGAATAGTTCACATTGTTTTGATTTTGAACAAAATTAACTGCGTGTTGCTGTGCACTGGAAGCAGAAGAAAGAATATGTACCATTCCATCCATATCAAAATTCCCTTCTTCAAACAAAAAGGCTCCATTCCCAGCTGATTTGGACCTGGTGATAGACCTCTGCATCAGGAGTTCATAGACTTTTCCTTTTTTCCTGAACCAATTACTTATTTATTCCCTTTCCTACTCTTCTTCTGTCCTGGCTTTTAAAATAGTTTTTATTCATTATGAGAGTAATTCCTTACTATACCAATACCCTAACCCAAAGCATCTAGCATTAGCTGGGACTAAAGTAACATGAGTTATTTTTTACTTACCAAAAAAACCCAGTCTAACCATTAACCCTGATGTCTGTAGCACATGATCTCCCTGATGCCTTCAGTTTTAATTGTGTGATGGGGAATTAAAAATGTCTATCCAGATTATGAAGAAACACAAGTACATTCTTTTTAATGATTATGGAGATTCAGAAAACAATCTGTTTATAGGCTGTCATCCCAACACTCAGAAATGTTTATCCAAGTCACATTAGACCAGAGGGAGCAACTTTTCAAGACAAGAAAACACTCTAAAATTATTCAAAGTGACATCTGTGACATTTCTAGGGTCTAATGACATTTCCAGTCTTTCCTTAGTTAAGATAAGTAGGTACAAAAGAATGCAGCAACATTGCTTCATGTATCATCTTAATGGAGTAGAAAGAACAGATTGGCAGTTAATGTCTCTGCCATTCTTACAACCAGATGAGTATCTCCTTGCTCATGAGCAGTCAGGCTTTTTCCAGCTATTTTTACATTTCTTTGTTTTAGTTTAGCAGGATGATTATTCCTGGTGCTCTTTTAAAGTGCAACATTGATATTTAACTTTCTTTGTGTATTTTTACATCTCTGCTGGGAGTCTGTAAACTGAGAATGCTAAAGGCTGTTCGACAATTTCCCGTTTCTCTTGGTCAAATGCTAGCCTGGAAGAAAGTTGTGGCAATTTTCCTTTTCCTTTTGATGTGAATACCTTTGCAGCCTGGACAATAAAATATTCTGAAACAACTGTCGATCAGAGAATATCCCATTCTTAATCAGGTCTTGAAGCCTTTTTGAAACAAAACTCATTAAGTTGCACCGAACAATACCTAAGTTTTGCACAGCTGTTTCCTAGGGATCTGGAGGCCAGGTTAGTTACTTCCTAAATCATAAGGTACCACCAGCAGAGCTGCAGCCCTGTCAGAAAGCAATATCCTGTTCACAACTACACTTAAGAAAAGGACTATCACAAGTGAAAAACATTAGAAATGACTGAAATGCTTCTCAGACAGTCTTGTTTAATTACAACATTTGTTGAACCAGTATGTAACAGCCTGCTGACAGCACTTCAGCACTGCATCCTCTCTTCAAAGAGCAAAGTTGAGTACTGGCGTGTTTGGGTCTGTCGCTGCCTTGACAAACATAGTGAAATTCACATGGCCCCTTCATTTTGTGTAAAATAGAATAATGGAAATGGTGGTGGGCAAGGAGACTTCTGCAGCTCACAGCACAGATGAACGGACGACTCACTTCTACAGCAAGAACAGCCCAAGTACATTCCTGCAGCATGCCTCAGCTTAGAGGCTGTAATGTTCCAACACCAGTGGACACAGGGGCAGGAGAAATGTTATTAATTATCTTTTCAAGATTACCAATAGCATAGGATGCACTATATCTATTTGCTATACGCTCTGTCACTATGTCACTTACCAATTTGCAGCTCTGGGTACATTTCATACAGACACCAGTCGACGTTGCAGTCGCAATGGGTTTTCTCAAAGAGATTGTCTAAAACATCCCGTGTCACCTGACGCTCATCCACCATTAGTGACTTTGTGCTGTTATCGTACATGTGCACCTTGACAACAAGCTGAGTACAGAGTCACAGAAGAGTCAGTTAATTTCAGAAGCAAGTAGAAGGCTAGTCTGAATCTGCTAACACAGATAAGAAAGATTAAGGCTGAAGGTTATTACTGATTCAAAGGCACCCTGTCTCACAGTGAGCTAAGGGAATAAAACAGCTTGGAAGCTTTCACATTACGTTGCCACCAAAATAAAGACCTTTTCTCAAAAAAGGAAATTGAACCTTGTCCTGTGCATGACTTCAGGAAAGGTGAAATTGCTATGGAGAAAAAGCAGAAGTTAATCTCTTCTCTAAATCTACTGGATGTGCAATTAAGGAAATGCTTGATAGGGAAACCAAGTACAAAAGGACAGAGTGTCCTTAATGCAAGCTAGAAATGTGGAAAGTTTAATTTTAAATGAGAAAAAGAATGGAAGAATCTTGCCATGCCAACAGACAAACCTGAAATCAGATTGTACTAAGATGGGCAGTAGTCCAACATTCATCAATAAGCAAACAGATGACTTATTTATATTGACCAAATTAACCTAAGACACTCATCATTTCTTCATATTATGAAGTATTTGTTCATTGAGAAACAGTATGCACTTTTTTCAGAGAGAAACAATGCAAGAAAATGCTGAAGTACATAAAATGTAATAAAGAACTGCAAATAGATTATAAGGAAAAGTACTTAAAATGCTCCATTAGTACTGAAAACAGAAGAAAAATTGTCTACAGGATCTGTACATGGAAACTGGAACTGAACTGGTGAGTTGGGAGGACTTCTCTATATAGTCTTGTTTAAATAGCTCCTTATTTTAAAATGTGTGCATAAGCAGCTTTGGTACTACAGAAACAATCTCTGTTAAAGACCAGGTAGAAGCAGAGTGTGATGATCCCCAAGAGAAAATCTACACTATCTCCGAAAAGTAAAAGCAAATGTAACAAAAAAAGTGAACTTGTTTTGATTCCAACCCTTGTAAGTATCTTCCTCTCTAAAATAAGCAACTGAGCCATAGTGTAGATTATAGAGAAAAAGAAATGTTGTACATGCATAATCTACAACATGTCTGGGGAAAAAAGGGTGGTTTTGTCTGGTTATAGTTGACTGCTCAGAAACATGCCTGCAGCTTCTATCTTCACAAAATCACAGAATAGTTGAGATTGGAAGGCACCTCTGGAGGTCATGCGGTCCAATTCCCTGCTCAAGCAGGGCCACCTACAGCCCATTGTCCAGGACCCTGTCCAGATGGCTTGTCTGTATCTCCAAGGAAGAAGACTCCACAACTTTCCTGGGAAACCCATGCCAGTGCTCAGCCACCATAACAGTGAAAAAGTGCATCCTGATGTTCAGACAGAATCTCCTGTGTTTCAGTTTGTGCCCATTGCCTCTGGTCCTGTCACCGGGCACCACTGAAAAGAGCCTGGCTCCATCCTCTTTGCATGCTCCCTTCAGGTATTTCTATAGATTGACAAGATCCCCCCAGAGCCTTCTCTTCTCCAGGCTACGCAGTCCCAGCTGTCTCAGCCTTTCCTCATAGGAGAGATGCTCCAGTTCCTTAACCATCTTCGTGGCCCTTCATTCATTGGGATGGAACTCTCTTGAGCTTGCAGGAGGTGAACCTTGAACCGGCTTTCTTGGGCCCCTCTTCCCTCCAGGGCCTTATCCCACGGGCCTCTTACAAGCAGATCTTTGAAGAAGCCAAAGTCTGCTCTCCTGAAGCCCAGGGCTGTGAGCTTGCTTTTCACTGTCCTCCCTGGCTTCTGCCCTCCGCTTTTGGTAAAAGAGAGAAGACCAGTTTTTTTGACAACTATTTAGTCAATTTAGAATTCAAGAATGACAAGTAATTTCAGTACAGTGACATAGCCACAAGAAGATTAAGTCTTACTTCTACCCTATGGTTCCAGATATTCAGGGTGGGAAAAAAATAAAGTCTTCAAAAGAAATGTTTCCTCCCAGAGGAGAATTGCTACCATTGCAAGGAAAAGAGGGTGACCAATGAGCAGTCGTAAGTTTAGAGCTTTCCAAAGACAACATTGGTGAAATCCTCCCAACACATTCTCTCAGAAGTAGCATTTGTACATGAATGTAAAGTGTTCTGTGGGAATCACCTCACATCTGGACTCCCCCAAGTTTATTGGAAGCTTCGATTCTTCTTGGAAGCCCTGCAGGCTCTGATCTCCAGCACCTTCCATCTCCTATTTGAGCCAGACTGAGAGGTCATGACTGTTTTTACTTCACATACATTTTTCAGAGTTACTGAATATCTGCAGCCTCTGTTGAGTTCAGCTGGAACACTAGCTTAGGATGAGCAGGCATAATTACAAGACACACTGCAGCACTGTGTAGACACTGGCTGGAAGCTTTCTAATTTGTTGGTCTAAAATAATTTCTATTATCCTTGTACATTGCTATACTGCTGTGAAAAGATTTAGCAAGAAGACTCTCATTAATTTAATTGGGATTAGCTAAATCCACATAACTGTAGAAGAAAAGTTTAATATGTCTAGAATCAGTACAGCATAAGTAAGCAACATTTTTATGTACATTCCACTTTCTCTAAAGCAACCTATCAGAACAGTGGGCTTTGCCCCAACACTGGAAAAAATAGAGGCAGAGCCTTCTAAGTCCTCTTAAAAATTAGTCCTTCAGAGGCAGCATTCTCCCAGAGACTTCTCTTCAGGCAGATGACAAGACAGCTCCACAGAATATCTTTAGATGTCTCAAGTTGTAGACAAAATATGAAAAAGCCTGGTGACTATAGTAAGAACTTTATTATTGAGAAGAATGATAATAGATACTTAGCTGGTAGCTCTTATGGTAGCATTTCACTATTTTAAGGCTCACCTTTTTAACTTTGGCTTCCTTCAGTTTCTCCAATGCAAGTTTAATCTTGTCAGCTTTAGCCTGTGCCTCTCGTTCTTCCTGAAAAGACACAAGATATTTGGTATACTTCTTGTTAAGTAAGGCCAGCAATTTATGTTTACTTGAAAAGAGTTGTTTCTTGCTATTTATATCCAGAACATAAGGCTTGTCATGGGAAACTTCATAGTTATAGGAAATCCCCAGCTTTCCTTGAGCTAATATCCTCCAGCCAAAGCTTTGATTTACAAGTCCAGCGCTTCCTTTTGTTGCCCAGTCATACAGCTCTTACATGAGCTCTGTTCCTCAAATGCTACAGGAATGTCTGAAAATTGGACTCTTCTATGTTTCCATATGAGTTACAGCTGATACAAAAGAGAAGATGAAGGAAGATCTAGCCTGAATGAAACAGCACTGTGGATGCAGCTGCTTGGGAGAAAGCTCACCTCTCAATAGGGTTAAGAGAGCTAGAGTTTTTAGGATCTTACTGAAAACTTGGCTTCCAATTGTACCACTTATAATTTTACACTTTCTGTTAAGTACATTAATTTACTTGAATCCTTTCACTTGCCATGCATGAGATCTTACTGCACGCATACTTACTGAGAGGAACACCTCCTTAAATTGCATGATATCATGGCTTTTTATTCTAGAAATGGACCTATTCATATTAACACAGACACAGTTAGATAGAGCCCTCAAGTTCATTTCAGCTTTTGCTGAATGCCACAGTAAGATTCCTAAAAATCTCAGTATCACTTGGCTCTTCTTTTACAAAGCAGCTGTATCAATATCATAGAATCATAGAATGGTTTGGGTTGGAAAGGACTTCAAAGATCATCTAGTTCCAACACCCCTGCCATGGGCAGAGACATCTTTCACTAGACCAGGTTGCTCAAAGCCCCATCCAGCCTGGCCTTGAAATATCATGCCTCTCTCTTAATACCAGTGAGGTCTGTGATCCAAGAAGACTCTGGATCCCCAGCTGCTGAGAGTTTTAGGTACACATACCAGATGCCAGTGCCTACTGTTGCCTCTGTGACTGGTGTACAGATTGTGACCGTTTCTTTTTGCCATCTGTCTTCCAGTAGTCTCCCCGTCACATACAGAGTTGGAAAAGTACATTTTGGACAGCAAGTAACTGAGGTTGCTGGGGCTGCCTTGGACTGTTAGTACTACTGGAGGGTTCGGTTTCTTTCCAACTTTAAATCTTGCTCCCTCTATTGAAAACTGTCTTGTCTTTGCTTTCTTGCCTCTTTGATGATTTTTACTGTCCCTATTGCTCTCTCTCACTTTCACAGTTTCCTTTGTTTTAAAAGGGTAGGATTTTGTGCTACGATACTCACAGGCACACCCAACTTCCCAATGACTGTGGGAGAAAGCTCCTGCCCTGCTTCCACATGAGATTTTTCTCTGTGTTACCTTCAGCCTCCATTTTCTACCCTAAAGACATAATTTTAGTGGTCTTCAGACTAAGAGAAACCCAGGGTGGTTGTAACTCATTGGAGATGCACTTGCAAGAAACTAGGCCTAACTAAGCATTGCCACCACTTCCTTCTTACAGAGATATCACAGAATCATAGCAAAAAAAGAGCTAAAAAGGTTACCTTATTCATCCCAAGCTTTGAGGCAGGTTCAACCATAACTAAAGTACTCCTGACTGACATCCATCTCGCTGAACTAAACATCTTTTGTTTTATCATTGCTTCCCCTGGATACTAGCATCCTTTAGGATGTCAAAAATACAAGGTGAGGTGTGTAACCTGAAAGAGATGGCTTCAAGCATGTTTGCTGTTGTCAAATTCTCCACTATAAATACCAGACAATCAGTTCAAAAATGTCTTTTTTTTTTTCTCCACGGGTACAGAAATTTGCATTGCTACAGCTCAGAGATGCTTAACTTCAAGAATCCAAAAATAGCTTCTGTAGTTGAAGAGAAGCTGTTGGAAAAAGGTGTCTTTCACAGTAAGGCTGACTGTCCTACAGACGGAAGAGCACACAGCCTCTCACACTATGTCCCTCCCCTTACCATCTCAAAAAACCTCTCTGCAGGAAGCAGGAAAAGCATCTTAACCAAAGTGGTTGAGTGTGGGGCGGGCAGGCTTTCTGCTGAAAATTTTACGCATGTATAACTTCTGCATGTGACCTGTATTGAGTGGAGTTCACGCATTGTACAAATCTGTGTGACAGAGCTCTCACCTGAGAGCCTTCATGTTTTCACAACCTTTGTGTGCTTTAATGTAGAAAAAGGAAATGATGCAATGTAAATAAGCTATCAGATGCAAAATTTTAGCACTGCTAGAGAAATGCTTTGACAGGCTAAAAGATTTGTTTTCCCACCACAATATCATCACCAGGTTTTCTAGATCTTCAAACAGAAGCACGTAAAAGTCATCCGGATAATGTCATAGAAAATGTAGAAGCCTTATTTAGCTTAAGGACAGTTTTGAAAAGAAATGTCAGAGTTGATGGAAACTTATGAGACAGCTCTATGCTCCCCTGAAAGAAAGGCTGTACTTCTTAATTTTGGCACACTTAAAGGTTAGAGAATAGAGTCTTACTATCACAGGTGCATTGGGAATAATTAACACTATTCTTATTTGACTACAGACAACCAGAAGTGTTAAACAAAATGTCAGCCTTGATTGGCTCAAGAATCACTTATCAAGAATCCTGGCTAATAGGAACATGGATTTTGATGAAACAAAATACATTCCATTTACAGCTGCATTTCATTCTACTGAGTAGAAACGTCATGTCAAATCCAATACTAACCAAGACAGTGAATACTAATTTGAAATCAGTTCTTTCCATATTAATTTTAAATCGTTATTATCTCCATCATTCACACTGCGACTTCTGCAATAGCCCTATAGTAATTTTGCAGACAGCAAGCCACACAATGGGTATGCCATCAGTACTTGAAAACAACCTGTATCAGAAAACGAGGCAAGGGCTGCGGGAGAAAGCAGAACCAGTGCCTTAATGAGGAACTCAACTACTGCAGACAAATTACTTAGAAATGCCTCTACCTCTTGGTCCCATCCTTCTCTGCCCTCGCCCTGTATCTGGAAAGAGACCAGAGAACACTGCTAGAGATTTAACTCAGCACACAATCTCAGAGGAACACTTTAATTGAGGGAGACAGAAGTGACTTCCAGCTACGTTTTTACATATAGAATTCCAGTTTTGTTTAGCAAGCACATCCTCTTTTCACTCCGAAATCTTGTTTGACACCTCGGTAATGCAGGATGCCAGCTCATGGAGAATTAGCTCAGTACAAGACTCAAGAAAGAACTGCGCAGCACTGTTGATTTCAGTGAGCTTTAGATCACAGCATCATAAAAGTGCTGGTTGGAAGAGAGGTCTGGAGGCCCATAGTCTGGCTTCCTGCCCAAAGCAGGACTGTCACCAACACTAGGTCAGGTCAGCCATGATGTTGCCTGGCAAAGTTTGGAAAATCTCCAAAGAAAGAGAATCTGTGATCTCTCTGGGTCACCTGTTCCAGTGCTACACCACTGCCTGAAATGGAAAAGGTTTTCCTAATGTCCTGTCTGAAACTACAAAGTTACAACATGTAGCTGTTGCCCCTTGTTATATGACCTAACACTACCATGGAAGAATTTGGCTCCACCAGCTGTGCAGCTACCCTTCAGGTATTTTTAGGCTGTCATTAGATCACAACCCAGCCTCCTCTGTCAGACTAAACAAGCCCAGCTCCCTCAGTCTGTCCTCGCTGGCCCCTGATCACTCCATGCCCCTGGCCATCCCAGTAGCTCTCTGCTGGACACTCTCCAGGATCTCCACATCCAGAACGGGGTGCAGTATTCCAGATGTAGCCTCACCAGTGCCAAGAGAAAGGAATAATGGCTCCCTCAGTCTGCTGGCCATGCTCTTCCCAACACAGGCCAGTTTCCCATACTGAGATGACCTTGGACTCATGGTTCTTATTCAATGTGGCATCCACCAGGATGCCATCTGCTTTTCAGCAGGGCTGCTGCTCGGCCTGTTGCCTCCCAAACTGTACAAATGCATGGGGTTATTCCACCCCAGGTACAGGATCTTGTACCTTGCTGGGTTTCTGAGGGTTTTGCTGGCCCAGTCCTCATGTTTCTCAAGGTTCCCCTGCACTGAAGTTCTGCCATTCATCTTGTCAGTCAGGCCCTTGATTAAAAGCATCTTCAGCACATCCACAGATGATTCTTTATGTCATCACTCAGGTCACAGATGAAAATGTTAAAGAATACAAGCTCCAGAGTCTGGCAGTTTGGCGTATCTCAGCCTACGTAACCAGCTACCCTTCCAGACCATACTTCCTCAGCTTCCAAACCAGACTATTTAGAAGCTTGATACTTCCTTAAAGGTCATGAGTCTAAATCAAAATGGGGACATGTTTGTAGGACAATGGATAGAACTTATCTTGATTGCATCTCTTATATATCAATTATACTAGTTAAATGAAAGAATTCAGCTTCTGAAGCTGTCTAGCTGCTGGTTTTGCAACTGTTGATATTCCTTTAAGAAAGGAAGTTAACTATTATCTTTGAGACAGAAAAATGGTGAAGTTCCTCCCACATGTTTACGACTTTCACTCTTCAAACAGCACTGAAAGGTCCTATGCACCAAATGAAGCTTTATCTAGTGAATCACTTTCCGTATAATCAGAAAGGTCCTCTTCCTACCAAACTTTCTGTTCCTTTTGCTAAATATGTCTGCTGTATGATGCTAAACACAGGGGCAGCAGTGATGTCGAGATGATTCATATTCAAGTTTGTGTGGACTTTTAAACTGCAATGAATTGCCCATGGTTCTAAGCAAAACTGATCAGTACAGTTCTGCATGGGCTGACAGAGCACTTTTCAGGTTCCCTAAAATCTTTCCATTCCCTAAATGTAAACATCTTCTCTCCGTCCTAGTTACTATGCACATGAATACTGAAAGAGATACTTTTAGATCTTCTATGATTTCAGGTTCATGTTTTTTGGGCTACATCACTCTTCTAATGCACGTAGCTCCCCATAGGGCTGTGACAGGGCAGAATTCTTACATTAGCTCCCTCTCCACAATCTCACGTCAAAGACATGAACTTCTAATGCTTCTACTAGAAATATCACATTTGATTTCAGTTGTTAAAACAGCTCTGCAAGAAACACAAACATGGAGGAGGTTGTGAAATTGTGGTGTACGGGTAAGCCAATTGTTTATAAATAGTACCTACTGATAACTTTGGCACCTCCTAAGTACAGAGCATTTGTCCCATATTGCAGATGGTCTTCATTACTTCCCTTCAAAGACAAGACCAAAAAGAGCAGAGTGATTCTGTGTTGGGATTAGGAGAGGTACTTCTTGTGCTCAGCCTTGCACCTAGTCTCCTAGCAAATGCTGAGTTTTACACAACTGAACAGCTTTTCCTATTGCAAGAAATCAGCTAAGCCAGGGATGGATCTGGGAAACATCCACAGAACCATCTCATCGGTACCAATATCACAAACTGCAATGAACAAACACAGTGACATCTTCACAAAATGGTGGGATCTTTGGCCATGCTTTGCACTGATGCCAAAGCCAAGTTCTCTATGAGAAGGTATTAACTGATCAGAGCTTATTAAAAAAATTCAGTGACAAGTTTTCCATTACAGTAAACCATTTGCAATGATTTATGCCCGTCTTGGGCTATCAAAATGATTAGAAAGGCAAAGGAATTGGCAATAGGTCAAGGAACAGGCAGAAATTGCTGAGCCCACAATAACAGAAAACTCTCACTCCACAGTCCACGCATGTTTCTTTGTTGCAGAACTTTCCCCAAGATGTTTCTACCTGGGATATCCACTGTTGTTCCAATGCCAAATACCATTTGCAAAATTACAAGAACTACGGAATGCTTAGAACAAGGTTCCACCCAGACTTACCTGGGTGAGTGGCTCAGGAGGAGGTGGTGGTGGTGGTGGCGGAAGGTCTAAATCAGGGTCTGGAGGTGGAGGGGGCAAATCATCCCCAAACCGTCCAGTAATGGTAACATAGGGACTTGATTTAGAATAAATGTCACTATCCAAGCCTGTTGAAGGCTGAGTGACCGTACTTTGCTGGTTGCCAGAAGAAGTTTTCTGTGCTTGTAAAGTTCTCTGTTCAACATCATTTATGTCTGCTACAAGGTCAGCCATTAAAGCATCCAGGTCTTTGTCCTCTAGGGCACTTAAGGATTCTGTAAAGAAAACCACAAAATGTGTCAGAGTGAGTTCATTGCAAAACGCTATGTTTCCAGTTCAGCGGAGATTAAATTGCAGAACGCATGGCTACTGTAACATATAAGGGTTATGGGAAAGGAAACAACATTTTAAATGGGTTCAAGAAACAAACATGTTTCAGGAATAGCCATTAATCTGGTCATACTGAAGTTCAGAGTACAAGGAACTCTATGAATACAAATTAAACAGGACAGGAAGCTTCACTTTCAGTGATACAGTCTCAGGCCCTTATGATGTTACAAAACCTGGCCCTGATCCAGCAAGGTTTCCGGGCACATGTTTAGTGATATGGATGCAAGAAATTCCATTAGCTCCCATTAGGCTATTTACTTATCTTAAGAAATGCCTAGCAAGTTTTGGTATAGCACACAACAAACCGTGTAACAGGCCTAGATCAAGAGTATCTTCATATATTACTACTATTCTACAACTCTAAAATTAATATGAAGCAGAATCAGAGAGCTCTAAGACTCAAGAAATTGTATGGTATCATTTGTAGCATATCAGTAATTGTGTAGTCAACATCTGTGACATACCTCATGGAATATGCAGAGTTTTGAGGATCCTTTCAGCAAAGAACAGACAAGACAATCTCTTCCCAAAAGCATCTTATCAACCAGATAGAAATATTGTAACTTTTGCTTTCTGTCTTCTACTCTGTCAGAGTATAAGACAAAATCCTACACTGGAACTTCATATGCAATTTCTTCTTTGGTTGTTTGAACTAGCCATGGTATAAGAGATCCTGTGGAATAACATCCTGTAGGATGATTTAGCTTTCTAGAAGATAAGGGTTCTTTAAGAACCAACAGATTCAGTGGTTTAAATCTCTTTGAAGAGTCTCGTTAAAAAAAAAAAAATCACAAACTGGGAAAGCTTTAAGTGGGATTTTGGAAAGGGATGGAGAGGGCTGAACTAGATACTCAAAAATGCTAATATCGTGTAACAAAGAACAGATCATTCATCAGACTAAGTGTGAACATGTCACTAGACTGTCTCAGTTTACTCTGCTTTACCTGTTATGCTAATAGAGTATTTTCATAAGCTTTTCTTTTCAGTTGGAAAGGTGGCTTATGATCCTCTCTATTTACATACCTATACCCAATTTGCTGGTAGGGGCATTAGGTAGCTTAATAGTGAACTGATTTTGGGACAAAAACACAGGTTAAAACCAACTCAGGCAAATGCAACCAACCAGCCCCCAGTAAAACAAACAAACAAACAAACACACACCACAAACAAAAACAAAAGGAGGGTTCTTTTTTAAAACTCGGATAAATTCCCTCATTTAGTTTGTCACACAGCCTCAACAAGCAGCTGTACATGCAAAAGTGACAGTGCAAACTGGAATGAGAATAAGCAATGTAAAGCAGAAGCAGCTGAAGTCGATACTTCCACTGGACAAAGATGCTTATGCAGCTCTGACCTCACACTGAGGAATTTTGTCTTCTATTAAGTTAAATCTTCTCAAAAAAAAGGTTGCATTTTAGAAAGTTACTTGGGGGACTTCTCATTTTTGTTTTCCTCTTCACTCAAGACATTGTAAAAAGTCTGACTCCTATATAAGACTGAGCATATCCCTTTAAAAAAAATTTGGCCCCTTTGAAGTTTCCTAAATTGAGACACACAAATATACCTCCCACTCCAGCAAAATAGTTTTGTTTTTTTTTTACTTTGTTTTTTTTTTTTTTTTGATCAAGGGTGTTTGAAGTTTTTCTTCTCATTTGTTGCTGTGAGGTGTTTTAAATAAGCATAAAAAGCATGAAAGAGTCCATTCAGCTACTTACCGTTTAAATCTTTAAAACCAACTGTAAAGCTACATTCATTGTTGGATACTTTGGGGGATGGAGGTTGTACAGTCTCCACTCCTAAACTCTGTTAAGGTAGAAGAAAAAAACAGGTATCTGATGACATAATTACTATTACAGACATTAACATTTGTAAATCAATTACCCGAATTTGTCTAATGAAATAAATTCTTCTTCAAGGAACAGAATGACACACACTAGTTTCTGGGATTATGCCTAGACTTGTAAACTAAATAGGGCCAGGACAAGGGTTCAAGCACTGTCACACAATCATGTCAAGCGTTTAATGGTTTGCATGCTGCTCAATACAATGTTGACCCATGCCAACTGCAACTCTTGTCAGGCAACACCCAGCCTTGGTGTGGGGAACAGTAGAGGCTAGGGTTGTTTCTAATAGAGACAGTGGACAAAGACAGACTGATTTTTAGTTTTTGGTTGTTTTTTTGAAGGGGGGCAGGGGGAGAGTGTTGAAAGAGTTTAGCTGTGAGCTACATATTTGAGCTATGCAGTGCCATTTGCTCCAGAGTGCTTTATTTACTGATATAAATGTAACCTAGCTGTTACTTTCTCATGCTGTTTGCAAAGAAAAAACAAACACAACAAATAACAAAACATGCTGCTGTTTGCAATGTAAACTGCAAATCCGCATAGTTAAACAGAGAATTCCTAGTTTGTGGCTTGTTGTTTAGGAAGCAGGCAGGGAACCACTGCTTCACAAGTTAGGAAAAGTGCATACAGACAGAAAAAGATACATTCTCCCTTCCACAGTGAGAAAGGTGATAGCTCTAATAAGCAAACAGTGTAGATGAGATTGGAAGGAATTTCAAGGGTCTGTCTAGACCATGCACCTGTCCTAAGGCAGGTCAGTTATACCTGGGTCATACCTGAAAAATGTATACCTAATCTGATTAAAAAGCTTCCTATTAGATAAATTCCATCATCACCTCTGGCAATCTGTTCGCCTGCTTCACTATTGAGATCACTATTCCTGCCATCAAACCTTTCTTGTGATGCTCATCCTAAACTTCCTTTGCTGCAGCTGAAGACCATTCCCTGTTGTCCTGCTCTCCATGGACATGAGGAACCAAGTGTTTCTTTCTGTTCTGATGCTGCCTTTGATGTTCCTTAAGATTGTTATCAGTCTCCTCTTCTCTAGACTAAACAACCTTGTGTAATCTTTTCTTATAGCTCATGTTTCTTTTCCTTCTCGTCATTCTCATTGCTTTCCTCTGGATTTTCTCCAGTCGACCCTCCTTCTCCTCAAAATGCACTGCTAACACTCGACATAGTTTCCCTGTTGAGGTCTTACCAATGCTGCGCAGAATGGAAGGATTACTTCGTATATCCTACAAGCTATACCCTTGTTCATACATCCCTGTGAGATGTTTGTCTACTGGTGTTCATACTCAATTTATACCAGAGGCATTTACATTTCTCAGAGTTGCCTGAAACTGACAGGCGTTTTCCATGAAAATTAATGCAAATGTTTTTCTTGGCAGCTCTTTTCACCTATTTCCCACCCAGGACATGTTGGTTTCTTCTGAAGTTATACTGAGCTGGAAACCAAAGCAGTGATAACTCTAAACACTGTTTCCGTGTTAACTGTAAGTCTTCAGGCTTTCAGACACGCCTGTCTCCTTCTCCCATACAGTGTTGAGGTAAGAGGTGATGCCAGCACTTTAGAGAGGAGGAGGAGTCAGTCTCCATCTTAGGAACACATCCCATCCCACCCAGTACTACACTGATGAGCAGAGACAGAAGAGGCTCACTCTCTTGCTCTCTTCCCATCACCTGCACTCATAACAGTGCCGTGTCCAATCTGAGGAGGTAAAATTTATCACAAGCAGTCTTTTGTTAATATTCAAGGCATAATAATGAAATGAAATTACCCTAAACCCCTCCCTCTTTATATACAGATATATATAAAATAAATATACATGGTTATAAAAAGCCCTTAAAAAGCAAAAAGGCTACCAAGGGGCAAAGTATTGTGATTTGACAGCTAAGAATGTCATGTGAAGTCTTGGCTTTCACACAGTTTAAGCATAGTTCCTATTCTGTGGCTCAGAATTATTGGTATTTAATTTGGCAAGCACTGGGACTCACCAAGAGGAAAGACCCCTCAAAACAGAGGTTGTAAGAAATCAAACTCACACAGAATCCAAGATGACAGCTTAAGTGTTTTAATCATGCATTTATTAAAATACAATAAATGTATTGACTTCATGGGGTTTTTTTTAGAAATAAAAATTCTCCTTTCATCAGGTTTTGCAGGAAGTATGACTATAGGTTTAGAAATAGGCTCATGCTGTTTTATAGTTTTGTCTCAAGAGTATGTTCTGCACTGGCAATAATGTCTCTAGAAATTCTTGAATGCCACCCGAGCTGTAACTTAGTATTATAGCGCATCTAAAGATTACTCTTATGCATATATTCAAATGTTGCTTTCATTTTCAAAGTTTACATTTGACATTCAGGCTACATCCCATTTACCCATGTATGCAAAGCATTCATACCTGAAAATTCTGACTCAAACTCTTCCTGTTTTGACAGAATCTTTCAATTTCTTGGGACTGAGTCCAGAGGAATTTAAATTGCTTGTTTGTTTTTTTGGAGAAAGCGTCTTTCATAAGCAGTTAGCTCTCTTTAACAATCTAGCCTGCACTGATATTATCTTATTCTTCAGGCCACTTGTTTTAAATGTCAAGCAGAGAAATTTAGTTGAAGGTTTTTCAAAATGATGTATCTATATTTATTCAGAGTCGAGGTACATGAAAAACGTAGAAAAGTTGCCTCTTTCCTCTAACACATAATAGCTATGTTTCTAATCTTGATGGAAAAAAAGAATTATTTACCTGGGTCAGCATGTCCATCTCCCCGAGTAAATTGCTGAACATTTCATCTATATCATCACATGTTTGCTCCATCTGAAAGAAAAAAATCCACAGGCAAGAAATCATCATAAGTTCAATTCAAAGCCAGCAACGGTCAAAAACAGAGGATATGCAATGTTGTTCTATATTGCGTTCCCAATTAACTTTAAAACAACTGTTCATGACTTGCAAAACCTTCTATCTGTAGTTTGGAAATAACTACTAACATATGCTTAAACACACACTTGGGCTCTACACTCATTAGGAGTTCCAACAATGTCCTTGTATTACTTACATTTCATAGGAAGTCACTAGCTAATGAACCATGGTTTTATCTTAAACATCAGAGAAATGTAGCTAGTGAGAGATGGAGAGGGAAACAAAGCTTGAGGTTGAGAAATTCCTGAATGCTTCATCTTGAAAGCTTTCTTTCTTTGGCTTGGACAACTACTACAACAAGAGTTTATTAGGTGTTATCTAGTGCAGGACCTGGTTATGGTTAGGTACATGACCAACTTTTTGTCTCAATATTTCTCCCTATTTTCTTTCAAATACTCCAGTCTTACCTAACCTCAAGACATCTGAGGGAGAACACCGAGACAAGAAAAATAAGTACATGCTGCACGACTAAATGGTGGCTCTTGTTGCAAGAGGGGGATATGAGGAAAGCACCACACACTGGTGGTGCTGAGATACTGGGGAGATACACCTTCTGTAATAATCCTCTTCCTCTTTCTCATAAATTTGTTCCTCTGCAGGGAGAGAAGTAGTGTAAAAGGGTGTCTGACATACAACACTGCCAGAGACAAGAACTATAAACATCATGTTCTCAAGAGGCTCAAGTCTGCAAGGGATTGAGAACTCTGGTACTGATCACATAAAACCAGGCTTCAAACTAGGGTCAAACTTTAAACATATAAGTAGTCCTATGGGTTCACTGGGTTTGTGTGCACCTGTATTGGGTTTATGTGGCAAGGTTCTGGTAGTGGCGGGGCTGCAGGGGTGGCTTCTGTGAGGAGACACCAAGAGCTGCCCCCATGTCAGAGACAGTAGTTCCATCTGGCTCCAAGATGGACTTGGTGGTGGCCAAAGCTGAGTCCATCAGCAACGCTGGTGGGACCCCAGAGACAACATATTTAAGAAAGGGTAAAAATGCTGCACAGCAGCTCTAAGAGGAGTGAGAAAATGTGAGAGAAATAGCCCTGCAGACACCAAGGTCAGTGAAGAAGGAGGGGGAGGAGATGCTCCAGGTGCCGGAGCAAAGATTCCTCTGCAGCCCATGGTGAAGCCCAAGATGAAGCAGGTTGTTCCCCTGCAGCTGATAGAGGACCGCGCCAGAGCAGGTATCCGTACTGCAGTCCATGGAGGACCCCGTGCCAGAGCAGGCAGACATGCCCTGAAGGAAGCTGCAGCCCATGGCGTGCCCACGCTGCAGCAGGCTCCTGGCAGCAGCTGCAGCCCATGGAGAGGAGCCCACACAGAGCAGGTTTTCTAGCAGGACCTGTGACCCCACAGGGGACCCACACTGGAGCAGTCTGTTCCTGAAGCACTGTACCTCGTGGAAAGGACCCGTGCTAGAGAAGTTCTTGAAGAACTGTAGACTGTACGAAGGTCCTGTGTTGGAGCAGTTTGTGAAGGACTGTCTCCCATGGGAGGGCCTCCACACTGGAGCAGGGAAACAGTGTGAGGAGGAAGCAGCGGCAGAGACAAAGCATTACAAACTGACCACAGTCCCCATTCCCCATCCCCTTGTGCCGCTTGAGGGGGAAGAGGTAGAAGAGCTGGGAGTGAAGCTGAGTCTGGGAAGAAGGGAGGGGTGGGGTGAAGATATTTTTATTTTTGTTCTTATTTCTCATTATCCTACTGTCTTATTAATTGGCAATAAATTAATTTCCCTATGTCGAGTCTGTTTTGCCCATGACGGTAATAGGTGAGTGATCTCCCTGTCCTTATCCTGACCCATGAGCTTTTCCATCATATTTTCTCCCCCTGTTCTGCTGAGGATGGGGAGTGATAGATCAGCTTGGTGGGCACCTGGCAGCCAGCCAAGGTCAACCCACCAGAGCACCTTACAGAATGAGGACCGACCTGATGCAAGAAAGCAATTAACTGAGGATAGGAACAACTCTAATGACTATAAAGACTGGCAAGGAAAGAAGACCAGCAAGTATCCTGTTCTTCAATCTTAATGCTTTTTCCTTTAATAGAGCCACTACACTGTAGTTAAATGATGAAGGCCACTGAACCACTAAACTCAATATCTGTTGTTTGAGAATTATTTGGTAGCATGTCTTTAATACGATAGTTAATACTGGAGCAATCTGAGCTGCTCTGCCCCCTTTGGACTTGGTCTTTCTGGCATCTACATAAGCAAGACTGGCCTGATTTCCACTGGTCCTCTTACCACCTGTGTTATCCCCGACACCAGAACTCATTAGGAGTAGGCCTGTACAGCTTTCGTCAGTCAGGCTCAGGGCATATTCTACCTGCTTTAGACTTTTTTTGTAGCTGGTGTATCTAAACCAGGCACAGGCAACCAGGAACTGGACTTCAAACTTCCACAGTTCTCTCCGATCCCAGAAATCAAAGACTTAAAGATCTGGGAACTGGATGCTGTTAAAGACATTTTAATAGGATGTGGTTAGCAGGGCTGAGGGTAACCCTAGCCCGATGGCGGAGACGGCACAGCTACGCCCATGCAACAGGGAACACACGTCACACATGACTGAGCAAATGGAGAGCTAAAGTCATCTTATCTGCTTCATTTCCAGCTGACAGCCCCACACTGGATGGCTCACTCTCTCTGTATGTATCATAGTTACCATATACCGCTTTTTATATAAAATTCCATTTCTGTAGATTCAGCTGGTTGGGTAAATGATTACTGAATCTTAATTCATTTATTTGAATGTACAGCTGTGTAGCTTCCCACACACCTGGCACTTGGAGAATCAATTTGCACGAAAAGGATAGATAAAACGGCACTTACTTGATCAGGCAGAGTGAAGTCAGATTTGTTATGTGACAAAAAATGGAGCTGAAGTTCATACCGACAAGTATCTCATCAGTGCTTAAATAATACTGAATAATTTTATGTTTTCCTGTTTTCTGGTTTAGGAAAACAAAATATCTATTGGGGGAATCTTATTAGCTCTAGCCATTTGTATGTTTTTGTGATTTTTTTTTTAGCACTGGCTAGATCTGCTTTCAGGAAAAAGTCTTCAGACTGGTTCCTTTGACAAACTGAAATCCTG